AGATGGCAATCCAATCAGTTGGCACATCTCTATATGATATATTATTTTCATAATTTCTGTAATATGACGAGTATTTTTATTAGTGCAGCAATGTCGGGTGAGGTTCCGGTTTTCACTTGGAAACATATTGCTATCTACATTTACCAAGTGAAAATCATTGTCACTGCTGCCTGACAACAGGCTGCTCGAAGTGGGTATCGAACCCGGGAACTCTGAATCAAGTCCCGTCGCTGATTATAATTATTATCAATATAATAAAACTAACCGTATATAATGATGCCAGATGCATTCGTTTACTGTTAATTTATAATTATGTTGAATGAGTTAGCTTCTTATGAAACAAGTGATAAGCGTTATGTAATATCAATATTACAACTCGCACAATACTTACGAACTTATACATCTACATAGTTACTTCTGTATATTATTCTGTTTTTGCTGTAATAGATTTCTATTGACTTCACGCATTACCAATTTTCTTAATACAATCCTGTATATATTTATATACACATATAACATGTTTGTATATAAATACAATAATAAGAAACCAACGTTGCGTATAAATTCACTGGTCACATCCTTGGATAGATTTATCCACTTGCAATTATCGCTGTACGTGCAATCGAGATTCTTATATTGCCTATTGCGACTTAATTATAAGTTATGAGTTTTATTTAGTTCTTTTATTCTGTGGTTACAATATAATATACGAATTCATGACAACTTTTATTAATACTGATACAGATGAATGCCTTAAGACATAAAGTATCTGCTGGAACTTCCCGTACCAAAAACTAACTTATATATATAAAAAAAAACTTTAAGACTTTGAAAATTTTAAATTTTTGCAAAAAATGACTTTTTTGAAAAATCAGATTTTTGTTTGTATTTTTATTTTTTTTTCAAAATTTTGATCATTTTTTTAAGCAAACATGCTGCTGTTTTGGAGCTGAAATATCAAAGCGCGAAAGCGCCGCGTATTTGTTTAACGTATGAACATTGGTACGGAACTCATATAAATGTGCACAAAATTTGTACTTATTATTATAGTCTTTATAAAATATCTAGTAATACGATGTACATATGTCTAATGATCATTTTTGACCGCCGAATGGTATTATTTTTTACTTTTTTCATTGGATCTCCGGAGACGCTTTACAAAAATTTTACTAGTTTATTTCTTATACAATACAAGTAAAATGTTTTTTGAATTATATCAGACATTTTTTGAAAAAATTCTGATGAGATGCTACCAAACTCTGTTAAAGTAGTACACTTTTCGCGGATAATGCATCGAAGATCCAGATATAATTATTGGTTATATTATAGTTTAAATGTTGTTTATTAGGATAAAATGATGCGATATTAAAAAATTATAGATGATTGATATGTTACTTATTAAAATCATATTACTTGTTTGAATGTTGAGTTAATACTGATATAACTTATTATTATATGAATGTATGAATATTACTTGATGTTACTTAGATGAGTATTAAGATATTAATAATTTTATTTGTTTCTAATTTGTTCATTTCTGGGTGCAAGTGACTGCCCATTACATTCCTACCCGATCAGATATTGACTTTTAATTTAGTTGGGTCGAGTTCAAGGAATCTGAATTTCTTTGAAAGACCGGTTAATGATTGAGGATGCGCTATTTATGGACAAGATGTATGACAATATGAGTGATAATTTTATATTTTGAAGTATAAAGTGTAATTTATTATTGCTATCATGTATGAAAGTATTTAAATATATCTAAATAATTTCACTATACTAAGGTTGAGTCTTAGGCGTGGACAATATTTTTTTAAGCTACGTTCGAATACTATTTAGGGGTTCACCTAATATATAAATTTAATAGTCTTATTTGGACA